TCTGGAAGATGTCTGGTCGATCCGGTCTAATTAGTATATTACATGACTGGTTGTCTCTCTGTGATATAACAGCCATTGATAATCACTTTCCAGATTCATGATTTCATGTGTTTGCAAAATGGTGACATTTGATTCTATCATAATATATAATGAAATCTTGCCATTTGCAACATGAATGGACATGTATGTCTATGGTTATTATGGGTATTATGCTAAGTGAAATAAGTCAATACAGATAAATACTGTATTGCTTCACTTGCATATGGAATCTAAAAAATAAATAAAAAATAAATGAATAAACAAAACAAAATAGAAACAGAACTACAGATATTGAGAACAAGTTAATGGTTGCCGGAGGGGAGGGGATGGGAAATGGGAATAAAATAATAAACGAGGAGAATGAAGATGGGGGCGTGGGAAAACACTGGTACTTGTGGCCTCCCACAACCACGTCACAATTACAACTGAAGCACAGAACACCCATCATTCAGCACCACCTTGAAAGCTGGCTGAATGAAGTCTTACAGCTAGAGGAGCAGAGAAGAAAGCACACTGAGACTGGTAGGAGGGAAGGAGGGCAGAACCAGAGGGCCTGACACCCCACGTGGACGGCTCTTCTCAGTCGGGAGGGAGACGGTCCCTGCAGGGGCTGCCTGTGAGGAGCAGAGGGCCCAGCCCCACACCAGACCCAGCCCAGGCTCCCAGTAACTTTGGGCTGTAACAACCAGCGGGATTAGGGCCCAGTGACAAGGGAGGCTGCTGGAGACGCAGGTGCCCCTCTTAAAGAGCCAGTGCACAAACTTGGTTGAACTCTATCCCTCTGAGCTCCAGCGCCAGGAGGTGTTGGGGGACCCAGAAACATACCGGGAAGAACTGGCTTGTCTGGCATTGAGGCAGGAACTCGGGGCCGCTTTCTCCCCGATGGGGATTGTTTCCTGTGCGCAGACCGCCCCTGTCGCAGGGCTGACTGGCAGGCGCCATAGCTGAGTCTCAATCAGCCTAGGGCAGGCAGTGGTCGCCAACCGGTGGTCGGTGGTCGGTGAGGTCCAAAAAGTTGGTGACCCCTGGCCTAGAACACACTGTTTGCTCCACCTGGTGGTTCCCGGAGAAGCTGCCCCATCCAAGCTGTTTGCAGCAGCTTTTCTATATGAACGGCCTGTCCTGGCTCAGGCTTCAGACTTTGTTAAGACCTCTCAAATAAGCTGCAGCTGGGGTCAGCATGCCCCAAACTTCACAATAAAAGGCCAAAGACCCGGCACTAGCACCAGCCTGCTTTGCTTCACAGCTAGGTCTTGCCTGGGCACTTCCTAGCCCAATACAAATAGCAGGCATCTGCAGATTTCTCTGTAGCTCCTGCCGGGTTGGCCCCAGGCAGTGGCTGACTTTGCACCTCCCTGGAGACTCTAGAGCAGTGGTTCTCAACCTTGGCTGCATATTAGAATCACCTGGGAGTCTTTTTAAAATCCTGATTTCTGGGCCTCATCCTCCAGAAATTCTGTTTCTTTGTTATGGGGTGGGGCCACAACATCTAATGTTGTGGCCTCACCCCATCACAAAGAAACAGAGTTTCCGGAGGATGAGGCCCAGAAATCAGGATTTTAAAAAGATCCCCAGGTGATTCTAATGTGCAGCCAAGGTGAGAACCACTGCTCTAGAGCCAGTCAGACCATACCAGATTACAACCCTACACACCCACAAGCGACACACAACACACTCAAGGGGCAGACTCAGGGAGCACCAAAGCCCCACTGAAGCAAGTCCTGCTTCATAGGGTGTTTCCTGCACAGCAGCTCTCCCACTGCAGTCACAGCTGGTGCTCACAGCCAACTGACCTGGAGGTCAATTCCTCCCAGTGACATCACAGCGATCAAGGCTCAACTACAACAAGACTTTGCAGCCCACACAGGGGTGCACCTAGAGTACCCAACTCAGGTGACTGGGGAGGCTGAGCCACTGGACCCTACAGGACACCTACTACACAAGGCCACTCTATCAACTCAAGGAGACATAGCAGCTCTACCCAATACATAGAAATAAACACAGGGAAGCAGCCAAAATGCGGAGACAAAGAAACATGTCACAAATGAAAGAAATGGAGAAAGCAAACTACTGGA